AGAGAGAGAGAGAGAGAGAGAGAGAGAAGTCTGAGTGAGCAAGGAATGAAAACCTTACATTCATGGCATTACCTTAGAATAAGCTTAAGATTTGGTAAAGCAATCTTTTTAAAACTAAAAAACAGCCTTATTGAGATAGAATTCACATATCATACACTTCACCCATGTAAAGCGTAGAGATCAGTGGTTTTAGTATGTTCACAGCTATATGAATCGCCACTAAAATTTTAGACCATTTTCATCATGTAAAAAGAACTCCATGTACCCTTTAACGGTCACCCTCAGACCCAGTGAAGCAGCCTTTTGAGTAACCGTTAATTGAGGGCCTGTCTGCCATGTTCCAGGCACTTGGAATGCTTGACTTAAAGTTTTTTCCACTAACAGGTATTTTGGCAAGATGGTACTTGAATTCTTTTGACTTTCTCAAAAGCTCAGGTGCAGACATTGAGAGGGCAATGGGCTGTCTTTTGTTCCCTGTTGAAACCAGTGCTAGATACTAGGCAGGTTATTGTCTGTGTTGCTACCACCTGGCTGCCCGATGGGAGCCTATTGACTGCCAGCACCTTGTCTAGGCTGCAAGGTGGTCAGGAGAGGGATTTGCCTCCCTCCTGGGGGTTTGGGTGGGTCGGGTGCCTGTATGTGTGCACGTGCGTGTGTGAGTGTGTGCTCATGTTACTCTCTTATTCTTTACTCAGAGCAGGAAGTAAGACTCTGTGGTGACATATCATCATGATTCTCCTTTTTAAATCTTATTTTGGGCCCTGCTTGACAAGCTTCTCCCTCATCCTTTATGAAAGCATACAAAAGCAAACAAGCATGATTTCTAAAACAAAAGAGAATTTTTAAAAACAGGATCTTTAGACAGCACGATTTCCCCATGAAAACTTTCAACAAAGGGGCTGTAGACATTGCAGGGTTTCTCCTTGCTCCAGCTGGAGCTATTATGGAAGAAGCCATAGGTTTTTGTCTTACCTTGTGAGAAATAGTAATCACTGTGTGTTAATTTCTTCTCCTTCTCCTCCCATGATTTGTGTCAGAGTCCCAGGCCCAGGAGGGGAATTTTCTCACCGGTCTTGGAGAGTGTGGTGAACAGTGGGGGTGGGAGGTCAGACACTTTTGCTTATATTTCGATGTCCTAGGGCAAATGTCGTCTAGATTTTGTAGGGAGATGCATCAGAGTCAGTAAATACTTCCTAGAAATAGCCATTTGAGGTCAGTGAAGTAGATGGTCAGCAGACCCAGGCTTGGCTCATTCCGAGGTGCTAACTTACAGTCATTTCTGGGTGAGCCACTCTCTAAGACCAAGGATGGCAGATTCACAAGTGCCCGTGTTTTGGAGGATTAACAAACTCCAGACATAAATAAAATATGACACGTGCAAACTCTATAGCTCTATAAACTCTCTATATGCTTGTTTAACCTGGAGGCTGCAGGGGTCAGGGTTAAAGTGTATTTTGTGAGTACGAGTGAAAATGAGGATGGACATCTGTCAGGTAATCTGAGCCTGTGTTCTATTTTGATGGCTCAGATTATTTTGGTTTGAACTGGCATCCTTTCCTTTGTTAACTCTCTTCTTTATGTGGCTGGGACATAGTGGCCTCCGTTGAATGTGCTGCACCTTTGGCTGGGATGTCTGAAGGGGCTTGCCTGAGATTCACTCAACTCACCGTTTCTCTTGATTTCAGCTGCCCACAGGCTATAGGGACACAGAGCCTAGACCACAGATGGTTCCCCCGGGGTCATCCTAATGATTGAGGCTTTTGAGCAGAGTTTGATATCTCCTTAAAGGAATTTGTAATGAGATAGACTAGAATTATGGCTTATGCGTAGCCTTGTGGAAAATGAATGATTAGGTCTTGACCAAATGTCTGTGTCCTGGGCTCGATGGGCTCTGGGTTCACAGCATCTGAACGGATGGGCCCTCCTCTTCCAGATCACTGCGGAGCCTGCTGGACGGTGAGATGGAGCACTCGGCTGTCCTCCGGCAAGAGGTCGACACCTTGAAGAAGAAGGTGGCTGAGCAGGAGGAGCGGCACGTCATGAAGATCCAGGCCTTGGCAAGGTAGGAGGGGAGAGACACCGGGGGTGGGCCTGGGAGGCTTATTGAAGCCCAAGCACACCTTTACCAACACAGTTTAATTAAAAAGTGTTGTGACCAGTAGCAATAAAATGTATGCATTTGAAATTTTAATATTTTATCGAATACATGTCGAATAATATGTCCGCACGTGATTCAGAATACAAAGCGTATAACTGGTTACAGTGTGCAATCTCCAGTGACCACATTTGCCCAGGGGATGGGCGATGTTACTGTTTCCAGAGCTGTCCATGCATGCGCACATCTCTGGATGTGTGTACCTGCTTTTCATTTCCCTCCCCCCTCCCTTCCTCCTTCCCTCCCTTAATGCACGGTGGTGGCGTGTCTAACACACACTCACTCTACATCATGGAGACGGTTCTGTGTTGTGCACCTCCTGCCATCTTTAGTAACTCATATGTCATTGTCTGACTGCACCAGCATTCATTTGACCGGTGTGCCAGCAGCCAGCTTTCATGTGGTTTCCAGTCTTTTTTTTTTTTTTTTGGTTTCCAGTCTTTTGCTACTTCTAATGCTGCTGCGAGTAACCTTTGTGTTTGTTATTTTGCTCCTCCATGACTATATTTGCTGGAAAATTTATGGAAGTAGAATAGCAGGGTCAGAGTTCTGTGCTTTTCTCAGGGGAGAGATCCTCAACTTGCCCTCCTTGGAGGCTCAACCAGCTTACGTTCCACAGCAGCAGGGAGAGGGCGTGACTGAGCAGCCCACAGGGGTCGGCTCCAGCCTCTGGGCCTTTGATAGCACTGCAGATGAAACATGGCGCTGGCAGACTATTTTTCATTTGCATTTCCCTAATTAAGAGTACGGCTGAGCCTGTTTTTATTTAAGAGCCATTTTGTTTTTCTATGACTTTATTTATATCTTATTAAGAAAACTATACGGGGAACTTCCCCAAATCCCAGCTCCCATAAAAACATGCATCTCTATGGAATTTGTTCACATGGAAAGATATTTTTATGGATGTATTTAACATCTGTAGCCTGTCATTGCTTAGTTTGCCTCTCTCCCCCACTGAAGCTTCAGGTTAACTGTTCCTGATGTAGCATTTCACTGAATTAATGTCATATTAAATAAGCATTTGCTAGACATTTGAGTGGTTCCAGTTCCCCCCTATTAAGGTAAGATAAACAGTTTATTGGTTGTGAATGTAAAACTACTTTAAAATAAGACCAGGAGATAAGTGTGTCTTGTGCACATGCGAGGGAGTCGGGAGTTAAGTAAACTTGCAGCAGCAGCATTTATCGTCCCTGTGCTGTCAGGGTGAGTGGCACTAATGTAATTGTTATGTATGTGGAATCGAAAGTTGGCACCCTGGTCCCATATTTAACTTTAATTTGAACTTCTCTTCTTTCTCTACATTTTAAAATGACACCTCAAGAGCATCAGAGACAGTTAAATGACTACGGCAAATGCCTAATTTGGCATTTTGTCAGCTGGGCCACCATTTCATCTGGCCCTGCAGGATTCTGTGGTGGAATGCTGTTTGCTCACAGTACAGGCTGCAGTCTGTAGAGAGCAGTTTTGATTCATCAGAGAAAGACAGACTTATATTCCCTGCCACTTTGGATTTTGTTCAGAGTCAGCTCCATTGTGTGAAGATGGCAAGTTTCTGGGTGAACTGCTTAACCTTCACAAGTGTGCACTTCCCCATTTATAACTTGGCGAGGCTAAGCTACCCACATGAGAGGACCTCATGTGGAAGTACATAAGGTTCTGAACACCAGCGAGCTGTTGCGAGTGTATTTTACAGGAAGTGTATGTTAGCCTGTGATAATCCTTAGGAAGATTTTTCCCAGCAATGGAGTAGAAACATTTTTCTTAATTAAGCAGTGTTATGACCTGAAGTCTCTTCATTTAAACAATGGGGAGCCAAAGAGTTTAAGGTACCCGAAGGTTCACAGTTTGCAGGTAGAAGGAACATTTGTAAAATAGGCAAATACTTCAGGAAAAAAAAAAAAGGGAAAAAGAAAAGCAAACAGGGAGGCTGGATGTGTATGTTTTGAAAAATCCAGCTGCTGTCGCGTTCCAGGCACAGTTCACATGTCAAGCTTTCTTCTTGCTACAGAAGGAGCAGCTGTCAGTGTTCTCAGGTGGGGGCGGGGTGGGGCAGCGAGGCTGGGCCAGGCCTGTGTGAGCACTGGGGCACCTTGTTCTCAGGTCACATGTGTTCAGGTGGCAGCTATCATAATGCCAGTGGTTTAGCCTAGTGGTTGGTGGCGAGGATTCTGGCATTGGACTATGGGAGTCTGATTATGGTTCTAATGCTGATTAGTTGTATGACCTTGAGCAAGTTACTTAATGTCTCTATTTCCTTAGTTTTAAATTGAGGATAAGAAAACTCTCCACTTCCTAGGGTTGTTGCACAATAAAATGAGAGACCATATGTCAGTTCAATAAATGTGCTTCATAAATGCTCAATAAATGTTAACTATCATTATCATTTTTCTTCAGTATGGTAATTATATTACTAAGAAACCCTGCCACATCAAAAGTTATATTTTAACAGCAGCGGTGCAGAAAGAATTAAGTACTAGGCTATTTCAGACATAAAAAAATGAAATGACTTATATTCTAAGAGTGTGTTTGTGTGTATGAGTGTTTTACTGGTTCTGAGTATATGCTAATTGTAAAACTAAAACATCCCTGAACAAGTTAATCATTTTATTACACATCTCTTTTCGCTCAGAATTAATGCCTTTTGTTTCGTGCTCTCATGGCTCAACCATGACTGGGGCCATATAACCAGCCAGTGCATGTGTGTCCCAAGCAGCTGCTGGTTTCTGAGGCAGTGGCGTTACCATCAGTGGCAGCTCAGGGTGGGTAAGCCTTGCTTCCTGAGTAATCGATGGCCATGTTTCCCACTGAATGAAGAGAACTCAGGCTATGAGTCAGGTGATCACAGAGAGAAGGCACACGTTGACATGAGAGGTACCTTTGAGAGAAGCAAGTAAATGGGGTTGTGCATTACTGCGGAGACATTTTTTCTTTCTGTTCATTGTATCAGTTATCTCTTGATGTGTAACAAAATATCTCTAAACATGCACCTTAAAACAACAAACATTTATGATCCTCCAGGATTTCTGTGAGTTGGGAATCTGAGATGGCTCAGCTGGGTGGTCCTGGTTCTAAGTTCCTCACAAGGTTCCAGTCAAGCTGTTGGCTAGAGCTGTAGTCACCTGCAAACTTGGCTGGGGCTGGACGGGCCACTTTTAAATTTTTATTCTTCTTAATCTTTACCCGAGGAGTGAGGATATTTTTTTCACTGATTTTCAGAGAGTGGAAAGGAGGGAGGAAAGGGGGAGAGTGAGAGAGGAGAGAGAAGCATTGATATGAGGGAGACATCTAACCAAATGAGAGGAGACCAATAACAAACTGGCTCAAGTTACAAAAGGAATTTATTGGCTCACATAACTGAAAAGCCCAGAGGAAAAATAGCTTCAGGAAAGACTGGATGTATTGGTTGCCTCGGAATCGAACCCGTGACACTCCGGTGCTAGGCAGACACTCTTAACAACTGAGCATCGCCAGTTAGGGCTGGGGGGCCACTTTTAAGCTCACTCGTGTGGCTGTTGCCAGGAGCTCAGCTCCCCGCCTTGTAGGCTTTCTCCACATGGCTGCTCACAACACAGCAGCTGGCTTCTTGGGTAACTTGAGCTAGAGAACATACCTGACATGGTGGCTACTGCTTCTTTTATAACCTGGTCTTGGAAATGAGACACGATTACTTCTGCTGCATTCCATTGTCACACAGATCAACCTTGTTCATGTGGGAGAGTCTACACATGAGTGTGTGTGCCAAGAGGTGGGGGGTGGGGTGGGGATCATTGGGTCCCATCTTGGAGGTTACCTACCACATCCACCATGCTTCTGTTTCGCCTTGGGGAAGACACTACCCCGATCTCTCCTGGCCGGTTCTTCCTCATCCCCATTCTGCACATGTAGTTTGGTGCAGCTGACTCTACCACTGCCGGCCCCGGGTTCCAGAGCAGGCCAGAAGATCCAGACCCGGACGGCCAGCTTGTCCCATCCCTTAGCCATCATGATCAAGGTAAAGAAGGGCCTGCGGCCAGGCTGATCTGATGAGCCGATTACAGCATTCTTGAGGGGATATGGTGTAAGCCAGGAGCTGTTGGCAGCTGTCGGCTACTGTGTGGGAAGATGCTGACCTCCCCATGGTGACAACACAGTGGAGAAATGGAGGGATAGATGGAGAGAGAAACCCACAGGTCCTGATTTGAGCTCCTGGATCCAGTCATTCCTGAAGCTATTTTTCCCTCTGGACTTGGCAGTTATGTGAGCCAATAAGTTCCTTTTGTAATTTGAACCAGTTCATCACTGGTCTCCTCTCTTTTGTATCCGGAGTCCTGACTAACGAAGCTTCCTAGTTGGGATGTTAGGGGATTGGAGCAAGTGGTGTTTTTTCTGTGCTCCCTCAGCAGTCAACCTGCCACCTTCCCAGAGAGACTTGCAGTTTGTTGTGACTCATCACGGTTGTGAACACCCCCCTGGATTGTGTGACAGAGCCCTGCTCAAGGCCTTTCCTTCCTGTCTCTCATGTTGGGACCAGCCTTACTGTCATTCTTTGTCACACTGGTGCACTAGCAAGAACCTGTTGTCAGTTGTGTGACCAGAGCTATTCCCTTTCCCCGTCTGAGCTCTGAGTCTTTGTCTGTTTAAAAATATAAGAGGAGGTGGGTGGCAAGGCCCCTTCCAAACTTCATGTAAGGATGCTGTGCACCTGTGTTCTGACATAATAGTCTTAACTAATATTAATATGCTTTTGGCAGTAGAAACCCAAACCAGTTTAGCTTAGGTCAGCAGGGGAATTTTGTGTTGCTGTAACTAACTGATCTCTCTCCAGGCGTCGCTGGACCCAGGTGCTCTGTGAGGTCTTGCTCTCCTTCCCCCGCCCCGCCCTTGGCTCTGGCCCTCTAGGTATTGTCTCCTTCTTGGGTGGGGCCTCT